ATTTTATAAATTAATTAATAAAAACAACAAATAATTTAATGAATGCATTAAAAGATTTTTATTTATTTTAATGCATTACAAGTTACAACTAGGGTTGGTAATTACGAGTGTGTAACAAAGTATTAATAATAAAGTAGTTCTAAAATTACACGTAATGAGAATCTTGTAATTAAAGTAAACCCGACATATGGTTTAGAGTTTATTATAGCAATAATTAATTTTTTTTAGTGGTCTACAAATGAGTTTGTTTTATAAGGATAAATTGAAATAGCTAGACTGTTTACGTATGCAGATGTAATACTTAATTGCTCTTTGGTTTAGGTTAATAGCCTAGGGACAGGTAACATTAAGAGAGCGCTGTTCCATCTCTGCTGGAATAATTGTAAGGCCAAATTACGCTCTGAAACTTTTTCACCCTAAGCATTTTTTTATTTAATTTTTATTTTTACGACACGCTTAAACGCGGCTTTGCTTTCATTTTTTTATTGTTACTGTCGATGTACCCTCTAATATTTGGCTACGATTAATTTTTCTTTGCTATTTCTCTAATAATATTGTTTTTAATGATGTTAAGTCTGGAATTTATTCTCTTGGAAAGTTTAATGTTTTTACTTATTTAAATATTAGATGCAATATGTAGTATTAGAATAGATTTTTTTGGAAAATCAATAATGTTGGTTTCTCTTCTTCTCCAGGTACTTCTCAAGGTGAATAGGTATTATAATTTAATCAAGGAAAGAATCCATCTCCCTCCGACCGGAACTCGTTTACAAAATACAACATCGCTTTTTATAACCGAAATCATTTATCATGTTTGTACTGAAGCCAAGACAAACTGCTACTGCGTTTGAGTTTACCGTAGATAAGATTACGCGCGTTTGTTTTACCTTGTGTACCGATTCCTGAGCCATTTTTAAAAACAGAGCTTCGTTGTTTCGAGTAATACGGACAAGATATTTCCGTAGTATACTTTGGAAAGGAAACGTTTTAATGTAGGGCCTAGATATCTCAAATATAGTAAGTTTCATGATACATATAAATACATATACATATAAGTATATACATATAATATGATATCACTAGATTTCGTAGCTTGAACGAAGAAAAAGTATGTCAGACACATAATACAAATATTGCTTCAGTGCGTATTTTACTTTTATGAACGTCACTACCCAAAGATACTAAGCAGCACAACTTTATAGTACACTACGAGTATGTAAACATTCCCATACGTGTTTTAATGTATCGAGTAAATAATACTGTGTTTGGGAACACAGAATATATAAATTATTATGACTATTAGCTAGCGATCGGCTGTCAACGAGTTTTATTTAGTTTTTTGACTTTTTATATTTGTTAGGGAAGGATGTTTACGCCACGTGGATGTTATGATTTAGTGTTAGTAATTGGTAGTGAGTGTGAACACGTCCACTAAGAGTCGAGAATAGTAACACAAATATAATAACAGAGACTCGCCGTCTATTCATAGTGCCTCTGTAGCGGCGAATGTTTGTGCTCTTAATAACTGTAATAGGGTGCTAACATTGTTAAAATATTTTTAAAGATTACTAGGTAAGAGTATATTCATTGATATTATCGTATATCCAATATTCCTTCATGTTTGTCGTATAGATTTGTATGTTTACCGAAGTAGCTATCTATCAGGGGTTGATCTGTCAGAAATATCTGGGGAGTCCTTTGTGGATGGTATTTGATCAGTGACATGGGCGTTGAGCGATGAATATTGTCAGGCAAATATAACAAAAAGCAAAACTAGCCGCGGTGTTAGTTTCACTGGGGCAGGGCCGGGAGAGGGTTGAAAGAAAAATGTGACATAAATGGTGTTCTTTTAATGAAAAAGATGAAAATTGACTCATTACTGTTTACAAATTATTTCTTTATACTTATTTTTTTACTTGGTAAACAGCCTATGGTTCACAGAGGTTATTAGTAGTTTTCTAATTAATAAAAGAATTTATAGCTCGTTTGTTCCCTATATGCAGAAAATCATGTTTTTAATAATGTAAGATGTTCTACTGATTTATTAACATATAATACTTTAATATTTAAACATTAATTCCTATAAGTTTCCAATCTTTTGTTATTATTACAAAATAATATGCTTTAAAAAGTTAAAGTTTTATCGAAAGTTTTCATTTATTTTCGTTAAGAAGATGCACACATTAAATCCGAAGTCCAGTGCTTTCTTAAGTAAACGATACTTAACTATATCGGCTATACATTGACACAAGTTGATAGTGTTCTGCACTTTGCGCAGGCATATAAATCGTTTGGAAATCGTCGTGTAATAAATCGAACGCTTTTTAATGGCAGTTTATCGGAGTGAGCTTTGGTGTTCAGATTACGGTCTAAGTGGCGGCAAGGGGCACGCGTTCCTTATCTCTGTCCCTCGACACTTTCAATATTCGATTTCGTCGCGCCTCACACTTTGTTTCCTTTTTCGCTTCTGTATTATTTTGAATATAAATAACTACTAAATGGGTTGTATATATAGTCTATATATTTAAAAAAATTGGGACAGATTTCACATAATTTGCGCTGTTGGCCAATTCCCAGACTGGGTTGGAATGTGCAAACTCTTGAATGTCCTGGACAATATTGACCAGACAGCGGTTTTAATTTTAAGTTTGGGAAAAAGTAGGTAGAGCGTGTCAATACGTCTCATTGTTGGACTCGCTAAGAAAATGTTTAATCTGATAGGAAGTGATTTCTTTGTTTAACTGATAGATAGATAAAACTATATAAAATGAGATGAGTAGAGCTATTAAATATTTTATATTTATTGTTTATAATATACGCTTACCGCTTGCGACAAACGTATCTAAAATTAAAATAATAATAATATGGAGTGCGAAAAAACTGTACTATGACCGAGTCGAGTGGAGTGCCTTGAAACTCAATATTCGATTATACGTCGCAGACAACGTTTTGTTTGGTTTTCACGCTTCCAGCATTACTGGAGTAAGGTGTTAAAAATAAATTAGTTACAATTTTTGTGCGCGTCATTTTCCAATTTATTGTCGCTATTTCGGTATACATCTGTCGATGTGCGACCACCGGAAAGACTTTTTTATTAATATACAGGCAAATTTATTGTTCTAAATATTGTGTCTGGTTTCTATCATACACATTGTTTAATTATGACGAATTTATTACATTATTATTAACACGAAAAAATACACGTGAATACATTCGTAGTTAACACATATAATTCGTTATTAATTTTAAACTTTTTAACTTACAAGATTTTTTAAACATTTCTTATTACGACATTACTAGAGTGCAATTTATATAAATGCCACAAATGATTTATTAATATCATTAAATCCTTTATCAAAAAGTAGTGAAACAAAATCGTCATATTACCGAATCGCCCCACCTACCGAAAACGAGATACCACAATCCAAGCTAATGGAGTGTTTCATAATGACGGTTTCTGACATAAAAATAAATAGGCGAGAGTCAGTTTCTGCGTAAGCTGATACTATGATAACAGCATCGCTCCCCCGATAATTGCCGAACTTGTCCGACGATACGTAATGCTAGTAATGAGGAATTAGCTCTTGCGCTTTCTCTGTTTGATTGCCAATCAGTAGGTATATGATGAAGTAGCGTTTTCATTTTACTGTGATTTATAATCATAAAAAGTGATAATAAGATGCAAGTGAAATGTCAATTAGAGATGAACTAGAACTTTCATTGAAATATAATTATTTATACGGAATCTAAAGATGGAATTGGTCTGTTTCACCAAGGAGTTTTTATCTTAAATATTATATTTTTATATACCTACCTACAAAGTACAGATATATTTGAATTATTATCAGTTCAGTATAGATCAACCAAAAAAAAACTCTAAGAATATTTTTACGGTAGTCAATATTTTGTGTTTCATTTGTTATTGAGATAGGTATAATGGTAGGTGGTACATATATGTAGTTTAATGTAGTTTTTGAGTTTTATCCCTATAGCTATAGAATTGGAAATTTTAGTGAAACTATAGAGTAAAAAGTTAAAAGGTATACAGTAAAGGTTTCATTTCAATGGGTCGATAAAATTTTAATACACTCGTACATACATTTAAGTTACTCGTTGCGCTTCCATAAAAACTTGAGGTCATGTGTGGCGGTTGGAAATAAAAAAAAAAAACAGAATACAGAACATCAGCGATACTGTAGACAGACGCTAGTTTTATAATAGTAATAGAGTTTTCGCTACCTTTGTTGCTAGATTCTGGTAAGGTTTAATACAATATGTTGGTTTGTTACTTTCGTTAGTGATATACCTGCAAATTAAAGAATGAAAGCCTAATTCTTAAACGTATATTTTGTTACGTGGTCAAGGATAGGCAATAGGCTTAAGGGCAAAGATTTAGGTGACAAAGTTTATTGCGGGCAAGAATATACCGTCCTCTATTACTAGACCATAAATCACGGATGGGAAAACAATAAGCGTGAAATTGTGGAAACTGTGGACGATGTCTTGGTATTAAATCTTGGGGGAGTGAAATAAATAAAAATAAATCTGGATCTACCCTCACGCGAGAACATGATTTATTGGATAAGTCTCGCAAAGAACTTGCGCAAGGCGATTTAGATACTGCCCCATTTCAATTTAATTATTTTTAATTAATAAAGAATCTTATATTTATTGATATAACTTTTTGATATTCTTCAGTCATAATAAATTTTTTTTAATAAAAGCAAAAAACTTTTGGAGTCGGTACACAAATAAACTGAAAATAAAATTATTGAATTTGTTTAAGCTTTGATACGTAAACTATCATAATAAATGTTTTAATATGAAATATTTAGTAACAACTGTTTGCTCGTAGTGTTTATAGAATAAAAATTAAAAGCGCTCAAAATAATTTTTAACTTAGTATATAAAATAAATGTCCAGTAATTTCAATTTCTATGTTCCTCTTATTATGTAGACATCATTGCGCTTGGGAGACCCGCAAGGGCTTTGCTTGAGGCATGTATGTAAGCTTCTCTTATAGTAAGTGTTTATTACGGTATAGTTTTATTGTATTCTAATAGCGATATATTTAGGTATTTATTGATATTTTGATAATAGTAAATACTTATGTATATAGGTACATCAATATATCTACACTTATTACTTACAGGTAATTTATTCAACTGTAGATTTTACTCTATGTGAGTCCCATTTATAATGTAAGTGCACCGTCATAAACGGCAGTAACGTGCTACTATGTCCGCAGCTCTAGACCGGGCCGACCTCCGAAACGCGCATCAGGCGTTGGTCTCTCTCTCGCCGCCACCCAGTTCCCTGGACATCCCTTCAAGAAACATCGACTCGAGAACGGCGATTATTCACCTTACGAAAACGGACATATGAGTGGTAAGTGTTATAATATTTTATAAAGAATCTATTTATATATTTATATAAAAATGAATTGCTGTTCATTATTCTCGCTAAAACTCAAAAACGGCTGGACCGATTTGAATACATAGTCCTTTTTTGGTTTTGTTGGGAGAGTGTCAGGGGTGGTTTAAGTATAAAAAATAGGGAAAATCCAAAAACTGCTGGAAAATTGAGAAGTTCAAAACTGTTTATTTTGTATGGGAATCACTACTTGAGATTACTTTCACTAGATGGCGTTAGTGGCGGATCTATTATCTACAAGTAACGCGTCAAGTTTAAGTTTAGAAAAAAATATAGGTTTATTATACAGTTTTTTCCATACTAACCGCTAAAATGTACCTAGGATTGAACACGAGTGAAGCGAGGGTGAATTACTAGTACTAAATATATATCAACTCTTCCGTCATCTAAATAATGACTTGACAGAATGTAGAGTACAATTGAATTATTTTATTCAAACAACTTTATTTATAACCGACTCAAGAGGTAATTATTGAATTTAATTCTCAATTCAGGTGTATCTACTTAATATACCTATTCTAATTTATATTGCAATGGTTTTTTGAGTATATTCCATGAGTGGTTAAATTATAAATTCAAAAAGAAATTTCTGTGAGGTTAAAAAAATAGTTATTAAGTTAACTAAAAATCGCAACGCAATATTTTTTTGTAAAAAAATTAAAAGTCATCATTTTAATTTATCTGCTGAATATATTTTGTGCGATAATTGAAAAATGAGTCCTAAACAAAATAAAACTACAATGAATAATTATAATGTAACATATAATATTAAGTCAATTTACAAGATTATAATTTGAAATTCGACTGATTAATTCAAATCAAAGTAAACGATATCATAATATGTGATAACATCGCATCGAGTTCCTGTATACTCCGGCGCCGGATATGAACCTCTCGGGTGGTATGCTAATCATTTTGTAAACAAATTACACAAATACCAAATTATCCCAACACAAACGGAGAAAAGGGAATAAAGTGATTAAATAGAGCTCAGCACAAGACGGCTGGCAATCAATCATTATAGTAGCTTAGGCCTTTGTTGATGATTTTGTCTTTCATCCTGTTTGCACATATGCCTCGCGGACCTCCATCCCGCTCCGGCTTGAAGTGTCGTGCCAGACAAGGGAGCAATTACATTCGTGATCTTGCATAAGCGACACTTGCTTATCGCGCACTGCCGCATTTGACTTTAAGTGCATTTTGTCCGCTTTTTCCCTAAATTTGCAATTCGAAACAACTTCGCTGGTGAAAATTAGTGATTTGATTTCGTTCTCAACTGTCTTTTTCCTTCATTGTTTTATATGAATATATAGTATTTATTATTTTATTATTAAAGTTGTTTGAGTTAGTTCGGGCTATTCTCAGAAAGTAGGTACTGCAGGGATTTTCAATATGGTTTTCATCAATAGAAAGAGGTATTATCAAGAAAGATTATAGGCTATAATTTATAAATGTTTGCAAAAATAATTTACCAGTATGATATTTGTGTACCAAGTTGGAAATAACCTTAGGTCACACCCTAACAAGGATAAGCCACTAGTAGGTATATTTTGTTAATATTCATTTTGTAAAAAATATAATATAATATTTTTTACAATATGAATTTTATTCATATGTATAATCAATCAATAGCTAATAATTTAACTAGTTTTTGTTTATACAAGTAATTTATGCAAATTTATGTAAGTACGTATTGTTTTGCTGAATTTATTAAAATAACAATGTTTGATGAATCTTTAATTACATTCATTAAACGTGCAAATGACGTTTCAATATTTCACTGTGATATAAACCCATAATTTTGACGAGTCGATGACAGTGGGTTAGACTCGGTGAAACTCTCACGCACACGTATGTAAATGTTCCTTAAGATTTATGCACACACGCAAGCGAACGTGAATATTTACATTAAAATCACACATAAATGTCAATGTTTGAGTGAGTGAGTAAGGTGGCGGGTGGCCTATTTTCACCCTGTGAAATAATAGGATACGAAAACATCGGAGGCAGAATATAATCCTACTAGGTAGGTTGAACGAAATGGAAATAGGAATATGAAATGCGTGTAAGGGACGTCAGCCCACGTGCTCCGGAAGGGTTGATGTTTATCTTATAAATATCTTTGAAATTAACATCGATTCTGATTTATCAACTCAGACACTTCATTTGAATTTCTAACATAAAGATAAATATCTTTATCAGTATTATCTAAACCTGTCGTTGATTAAGATAATTAAGAAATGACATATGTTTAAACATACGTACAACAAGATTAGAGCAAAAAGTAATTCATTTTTTTAACGTTATTAAGATATCAAACATTAAAATTAAATTATTCTATAAATAAAATTACTGATCACCAACATTGTTATTCGATGGTATATACTCGTATGATTGTTTGTATTTGTTAATTTTCCAGTGCCAGCCCTATAATTTTGGAAACTGGTATGAAAATGATGTGTTGATAATAATTAAAGGTTTCGTACGTTGTCGTCGCGATTCGGATGTTATAAACGAGGGGATAATGTAAGGCATTATAACATTACGCAAGGGTATAAAGCTTTACATTCTGATTGAATTCTGCGACTGAAATTAAGTAAGGATTTGCCTGTTTATGTTAAGGGAGAGGGATATGACGGATCAGTCAATTTGTGAGCCTTTCCTTCACGCCTTTGTCCTTCATTGTTCTTTGATTGTAAATTAAAATATAAAGTTACATGAACAATATTATTTGTATGCTTACCTACCCAAAAATAAGTAAAATGATTAACGCTAAGAGCTCTAATCAATACATTTTCACTTCAAATCAATCAATTTTCACATATTATAACAACAAATAAAGTGGCTTTTTTAAATCATTAACATAGTGGTATTTGCATCAACTGTATTCTTTTTAATTGAGAGCACGCAATACAATGTTTATCGCATTATAAAAAAATAACAAATTGCTCTGCAATCTACATCTGAAAGTTAATGTGATTAGTTTTTTATTAGGAATGGTTCATATATTAGCGGCACATCGTACAATGATAGAAATGCTTCGTTGATTATTAAAGCTTTGAGTTGCATTTACTACGTTCGAGCAAATTACAGATGTACAAGGAAACAGTAACAATAACCGCGGCGGCGACAATTAAACGCCGAAGTGACGTGGAACAGTAGAAGTGTTACGATCTTAGAGCTGTAACTTCTTGAACAAAGGTAGCATGTGCGCAACTAGTTCAAACTATTCTACAAATAGCTCGCAACATTGGAGTAGGTATAATGGGAAAGTTTTAAGGTTACTATGAAAGCAAATGCATTGTAAAAAATATTTTTTGACATTATTTTACTTTTTACGACATTTTTTATGAATGTCTACATCGAATTAAATGATGACGGCAGTTTTAGCTAATTAATCCATATTCTAAGGTTAGAATCAGTGGCCATTGAGACGTCACGTGTAATTTTCACATTATTGAAGAAATAAATAATCGCAACGGTAATAATATTCCAACTAGTTATTCATAATTCAATATTTTAATTTTAAATGTGTTTTGTTAAACAGAGAAAATTTAATGAAAAATATGTATACAATGTGTATATTTAAATACAAACGTTTGAATGATATGTGACCTAATATTTACAATAGATACCCATTCCGTATATCATTCCACACCTTACATTCCAAGCATTTGTTTCAAGCGTTCAATTCATGCCACATTTCCCCGTGCTGTTCCCTATTCAGATTTATGTGCAAACAGGTTTCTTATTAGAAATCTTTGATAAAAACTTTATATTATAGTGCAAAACAAGTTTAAAACGAAACATTGAAATGGGTGTTGAATTACATTTTCTTAATCTATGATTAGGAATATTTGTATTATATCCAAAAAATCTGTCTAAAATAATATATTAAGTGTATGGACATGAAGAATCTTAGTAATGAAAGAGTAACAATTGTTTTGAATTTATGCACATTAACAATGAAAATTTTATTCACAAAAAAAATAACATCATCATAATACATAGATAGGTTTATACGAATACTAAAATAAGCATTATTTATGGAAATCCTTTGCATTCATAGGGAACATGTACAATTACACATAATTGCATTTTATTTTCAAAGTGTTAATATAACAAATGAACATAGTACCTACCTATATTACAATACAGATCTATGCTTGATTGTCTACATAAATTGTCTTAAGGTCAAGTCATTTTTAAATTGACAGCTTAAGTCAACCAATAAATAACTATAATACTTATATAAAAATATTTAATCTTCATTAAAATAATTAGTTTTTAACGTCTACACAAAAGCATATGAGCTCTTACTCCTTTAGCTACAAATCTAATATCATAAATAACGCCTGTCTATTACAATTCCTGAGAAGTATGTCTGGTTTTTTGCCTTTGCAACTCGCAGTAACCATTTCTTGTCCATTATTAAACATCTTTTCTACCTATTTCCATACCAACATTAGCAATAAACTGTTGAATTCCCATCGTTTTGTTTGCAGTGTGGAACGAGGCTTACAATTAAAATGCTGTTTTGCCACTTACGACATTACTCACACCTCGCAGTCATCATGGCACATTCATTTCGTTTTTTGCAGAGTAAAAGCATAACGATGGAATTTCTTTTAATTAACTATACCGGCGTATTTTGAATGTCGGCGCGCGCAATGTTTTTAATTTGTTAATGTTCTTATTAAATTGTCTTAAAGTTTACCCGCGAAGACGTGGCGGAGAAGGTGATCGAAACTAATTAATCTATACATATAATAAAATTCAAACTAAGCCGAATCTGTACATTAAATATTTTTTGGAAAATCTTATTGAAATAGACAGACTTTTTACCGCGGGAAAATATCTCATTTCTGAGAAAAAAAAACACAAAAACTGCAATGTAAGAGTATACTAATATGAAAAACTTAAGAATTTGGTGTTTCATCATCTGAACGCGGTCG